CTTTATCCCAAAGTTATATCTCAGAAACTATATCTATCGTGAACTATCCCTTCATCTGGAGAACGAGAATGAGAGTTCAAGGAAATCGGATGGGCAATGAGCATGGATGTAATTAAAAAGTGAACCTTTATGCATCGCTTGGAAAAGCTTATGAGCAAGAAATGAGCAAACAGTAGGGTCTGGGAAAGTAAGTGCCATCTTGTTCTCTGTGCCCAAAATAGATCACCGCCGATAGACTAGGAATAGCACCAAGAAGTTGTTGTAGCAATCGACTTCTCTAAAGAAGGGCACAGGCAGCAATTAGAAGCAACACTGGGCGACATTAGGGAAGAATGCAAAACCACACTTCATAGCCTGAAGCCTTACGTTAAACAAGAATCCCAAAGCGAATCCCGATAGAATAGCAGATTGAATCGATGGAAGTGAAGACCAGTCCAATATGGCTATATTCGATAAAATATGTCGATTTCTTTGTTTTCAGCCACTTGGTATCATCTCCATGTTGGACGAGGAGTGTATCGTGCCGAAAGCTACTGATTTGACATTAGCACAGAAACTCACTGAACAACATCTTGGCAAACATCCGAACTTCGAAAAACCCAAACCACCAAAGGGCAAACAGGTAGGTTACTGAATTATTATTTTTCACAAGCCATTAGGTGACCATCCTGAATCCTCAAAAGACCCTTTCATCGTACCAAACAAGATAGAAACATGAGAGCTGGTGGAGAAGTTGCAGGCCCTCTCTCCCTTTAATCTCCTCGTGCTGTCTGTCTTTCATTTTTCCTTATGTTTGTGGTTTTCACCCTGGGGCACTTCTTTTCGACTTCCAAGTAATCAATCCGAGCATCTGAGTATTCCATATCATCCTTCTTGAGGATTTCTTTTCCGAAGAGTGATCGCTTCGTTTTCAGTCAGAAGCTCACTTCGCCATGCGTCATTATGCCGGTACAGTACGATACAATGTGACGAACTGGTTAGAGAAGAACAAGGACCCTCTGAACGATTCTGTGGTACAGGTGATGAAGAACTCTAAGAAGAACGACCTCCTCGTTGAAGTATGGCAGGACTACCAGACACAGGAAGAGGCCGCTGTTGCCGTGAAAAGTATGTGTCGAATTCTTATACGGGGCGGCATCCATTCTAATTAGGTTGAACGAAAAGTCTTGTATCTCATTGTGCCTGGCAGTAGTGGATGCTCACTAAAGAGGAGTGATAAAATTTGCCTAGGAAGGATGAGTAAAAGTGTATGGGAAAAGCTCTCAGAAACTTCGGTGGGTAGCCACTCGTCTCTTGGCTGAGTGTTTCACAGCTCGGTATACCCTCTCCCTGATATGGGTTGATTTTGATGGAGAGAAAAGCTCCCATCGGGTAACTCTTGTCTTCGCTGTATCCGAAATCAAAAATGAAGTGTAGTGTTGGAAGAGATGGATCTAGCTAAGAGGAAATAATAAGAGCACAGGGTAGAGGCGTGACAATCGATTGCTGTAGGATGCGTCATGCAATAATCCTTCCTTCAGAAGCCAACTTTTCCATTCAGGTGCTGGTTCTGGAAAGAAGAAGGGCAAGTCTGGATCGTTCATGACTGTCTCTATGTTGTATCGTGAATCACTGAACAATCTGATGGTCATGTTGAACAAAACTCACCCTCATTTCATTCGTTGCATCATCCCCAATGAAAAGAAAGCATCAGGTTGGTCAATCGCTCCTCAGAAATTTAACCCTAGGAAAATGGCAAAGTGCAAATGCCTTGCCTTATTCTGTGACTGAAGGATCTCGTGGTTGCCCTAGGTATAATCGATGCCGGTCTGGTGCTCAATCAGCTCACGTGTAACGGTGTGTTGGAAGGTATTCGAATTTGCCGAAAAGGTTTTCCGAATCGTACCCTTCACCCTGATTTTGTGCAACGTTATGCGATTCTCGCTGCTGATGAAGCACTTATTGGTAAAGAAGATCCAAAGGTGAGTCAAAAATTGAAATTTCCAACGCTGTTATAGTCTTCAGTGGTTGAACATCATAAAAAAGGAGGCTGACCCTTATGCATCATCTTCACATGTTAACAGCAAAGGTCGCACACACATACACACATACACACACACACACACACACACACACACACACACACACACACACACACAC